AAAACTGAAAGTGAAACTTCCAATGGCATAAAAATGGCATGAGAAGTACACTGGTCTGCAAGACTTAGAGACGATATAGATGATGTAAAATAGCTCATCAACAACTCCGTAGTCTTTACAACGGTTCCCTTATTTGCTCTCAATACTGTACTGCAGAAGTTCTTCCTGTGTGTGGCTAAGTTCCATCGGGCTATGTTGCTCGACAATAACATGTCACGGAAAGGTTATGTTCGCTCTAGGGCTTTGCACACCACTGTTCCACTATCGGGTCTTCTGATAGTAGAACACCGGTGTGCAGTAGGAGGCGCGCGCTGGACATCTATGCTGATGCCACTCTGGCACAAAGAGTTCCTCGAAGTTACGAGTTGTAAGCGGTTTTATTCCTACACCAGTTCTTTGATTTCCTTGTATGCGGTACGGTTTTTGTACTTTATGGTGGGAAGGAGCTACTGCGACCTAGATGGTGTCTTCGGAGGACTAAGCCTGGAGTGGGAGGGGTGAATTCTGGGAAAAATAAGCTTCTCACACACTTGAAGTCTCTCTCCCCTCCCCCTTCCCTTCCACCCTAATGCTTAGCCTTAGACGTCCACAATAAAACTTGGTAGTAGCATTGGGCACTGTCAATCGCAGTGCCCCTCACTATCAAATACGAATGTCAAAGTACTCGAATATTTGGTGTGCGCTACCCCCGAAACGCACTTAGTGACTCAAGGTGTTGCCTTCATGCGTCAAGCGAGGACAACGCGCTCTACAGCGGAGCCGCGACGCAGCCGCCGAACGAACGCAAATGTTCACATTGGCGTTTAAGTTCTTCTATGGAATAAGGAAGCATGTATCTTTGTCAACGCATATTTTTCCGAATATCAGCGGTATGTTGAGTGGATAGTATTGTGCACCCTGGGGTTGAAAACTCACAATTCGAGAAAAATGACGAAATAGGATGACTAGGAGTTTGTCTGCCTACCGTTTCCAGCAGCATGAAGGGCTATTGACTTATCCAAGACACACTTTTCCGAAGTTACGTTGATACTTCGATTTTCACCGAAACTTCTGCTATAAGGTTTATGCACTGTATCAATACGAATACGGTATTCATTTTTGACG